CCATCCATCCATCTATCCATCCTTCCATCCTTCTATCCTTCCATCCTTCTATCCACCCATCCTTCCATCCATCCATCCATCCATCCATCCATCCAACCATCCATCCACTGCCTATATCTATTTATTTATCTCCTCATTCAGTAGATACTCATTGACACTTTCTAAGACCAAACACTTCCCCAGGCAGTGGAAATTCACAGTTGAATAAGACACGGCTCTTGCCTGTCAGGAGAGTCATGTTTTATAAAAGAAGGAGGCGCTGGAGATGATGCGGTAAAGGAAAAACAAAAGCCACAGGGAGGGATCTGACATCTTCCCCAGGAAAAGCTTCTGAGTGGAGTTTTGAAGGATGAGTCCTAGTTCATCGAAGAGACTGGGAGCCTTTCTAGGAAAAGGGAGGAGAGTGCGGTGTGTGGGTTCTGCTGAGGCTGAGCGCGTTAGCCATTTGTTATTTCTGGGGTGCAGTGGGGTGCAGGAGATGGTCTAGAAAGGGCACTCAGGCCAGATCACAGTGATGAGCAGAGCAGTAGAAGACGTGCTCCTTGGCAGGGGAGGGCTGCGTTGGGTGCAGGCAGTCCTGGAGCCCAGGTGCCTGGGCTGGAGTCCTCCACAGGCCGCTGATTTCCGAAAGCACGGTCTCCTGAGTTATGTAAGCGATCACTACACAGAGGTGCAACCTAACAGAATAGCATCCATCACCCCGAATTCCCCTGCTGGCTGTGACCCAGCCCAGGGAGACCTAGAGTGAGCAAGCCTTGGGAGCTTTGGATTTTTATTTTGGATGTGTCTTCAAATGGTGTTGCTGAAGAATTTGAATCGCTCTTCTGTTTTATACCTTCATTACTCCTGGGGGACTTTATCCTAGGACTTTAAATAACACTTAAAAACATAGTTTCCAAGCTCCCATAGTGTTTTATGTTATGAATATACTGTGATATGTCCTTTTCCCTGATGCTAAATGCTGAGCTGGTTTTAAATATTTAATCAGTGTATAACCAATACAATGACATTGTTGTACATTAATTTTTGTTCAGTTATCTGATCAGGTTTCTTGAGACAGATTTTCAGAAGTGAAATTATTAGGTTCAGTGTTTCAAGTTTTGTAAGGCTACTTTGACCTATGTTTTCAAATTGCTCTCAAGAAACTTTGGAGCCGGGCTTGGTGGTGTACGCCTGTAATCCCAGCACTCAGGAGGCCCTGTGAGTTCAAGGACAGCCTGTGCTGCAAAATGAGCTCAAGGCCAGACAGAACTGCATAGTGAGACCCTGCCTCAAAAAGATAAAAGAAAAAAAAAAAGAAACCTTGGAACCCTTTACAGCAGGGCGCATGTGACATCTCACCGTACTCTATGGAATCGGGCACAGGCGTCCTCCTGAAATCTACTTTCACTTTTTCTGAGTCGGGTACCACAGTCAAGTGCAGCCCCAAAGAATTTAAACAGGAGATTTTAGAAGTAAACAATCATCGAGCTTTAAATTGCACGGGTGCCCGGGGAATGAGAACTCTCACACCACCTGCCGTTTTCTGCTTGGACAGAACCAGTGATTTGTCCCGCATAGCACACGGCCTGCCCTCAGCACCTTCAGGCGCGTAGTAGCCACCTCGGTTAGCAGGCCCTCTGTCGTGCACTTCCTTGCTGCATCGAAATGATGCTTATTTTACTCAGTCATGGCCCCCAAACACAAAAACGAGGAAAGTTGACAATTTTCTTGCAATAAATATGTCTTTATTGTTGTTTATAATCACTTATCGTGCCTAATTTAATTTAAATTTATTACAGGCACGTGTAGGTAGGAACACCATATGCGCAGGGTTTGGCACTACCTGAGGCTTCTGGAGTGCACTAGGGCCAGGATTGTATCCCCTGCAGACAAGGGGAGACGACTACATTAGCTTTTGTTCCTTGTTCCCATTTGGTGCCCAAATGGTATTTTCTCTTCATTTGCTTTTTCTTTAGAGGTGAAAATGACATTATTTTCTGAATCACTTTAGACACATCAAAATATTACAGGAACTCACAATATAACTTGTTTTGCTGTTGCAGAGTCAGTTTACAACCTTTCCCTGAAGAACATGGTATGGGACCCGCAGAAAGTACAGAATGACCTCAAATCCCAGTTTGGTTTTGATGATCTTCAAACAGAAAGAATCCTGAATTATTCAGCAGAGTTGCAGGAGGTATGCAAGCTTGATTGCTTCTCACACCCTCGGGTCTCTCCTGGAGAGACCAGGATACTACCAGCCCTTGGCTTCAGATGCATGGAGTCAACCAGCTGCAGATCGAAAACACAAGAAAGAGCAAACCATGCCTGTACTGAACATGAACAGACCTTCTCCTTGTCATTTCCCCTAGACATTACACGTGGTGCCTCGGTTCACAAGCTTAATTATTTGTTCCAAGGTTCTGGTTGCAAATGAATCATGGAGAGAATTAAGTTTGGGAAGCTGCATACCACTGTATAACAACAATGTACCCGGCAATTATGCTCTATTCAATATTCGGTGCATCCTGAGATGTAGGAAGATGTCTGAGGCCAGAGCTCGTACTACAGCTGGAGACTTGAGCATGCGCATCCTGGGACCAGGGGTTGGTGGAAATGGAGGGATACCCATATGTTTCTCAGGACAGCCGGACAGCGGCAGTGGGAGCTGGTAGCCAGACCAGGGCATCCTCCTACCACAAGATGAGCTTCTGAGGCACAGCAGGTCCTGGCTATCCCTGTCTTCCTCCCTTGTCACTGCAGCTCTCAGAGTCGGTTTAAGTGATGATACTCCATTCTCTGGGGTCCAGGAATGGGAGAAGCCAGCTCAGGTCGAAGGGGGAGGTCCTCCAGGCAGATAGAGATGGTGGGCGTCCAGGAAGTGGTGCTCCGGAAGGAGCATGAGTAGGTGACTTTCTGGGCAAAGTGACAGCTGTCACAAGGGAAGGAGGACGGCTGAGTCATGAAGGCAAACTGAGTCTTCCAGAGTTGGGCCTCACTGCACCACACCAGGTGAATGGAAGAAAGGGGTTGGACTTGCTGAGCTGTAGGACCTGGTTCACACTGCAGCGTGGATGTTCTGAGGCAGCTGTCACCTGCAGACCTCAGACCATCTGGGGGCTCTTTTGCTTTGCAGATGTGGGTTCAAGACCACACAGCTGCACCTTTGGTGCAGTGACACATCCTCCAGGCTCTGCTTTCAGGGTCAGGGCTTTTCTTGAGTAGCACTCAGTGTTTAGAGAAGAACCACCCCTTCCCTTGGGGTCCGCATGGTTGGAATGTGGATTTTGCTTCCTTTTCCATGAATGTCTGTGATCTTGTGAGTATACGGTCCTGACAGCACTTGCTGTGCTTCATGTGTGGGAAAGCCAATCCCTGAAGGGTTATGTAATGGTGTTTGGAGGTGAGACTTTGGGGGGTTCCTAGGATTGCATGAAGTCAGGAGAGTGTCCCCCCACTTCTGTTAGCATTGGTGGATTTATAAGAAGAGGAAGAGAGACTCACACTGGCACCTAGCCCCAGCTTGCTCTGTGATGTCTTCTGCCATGTTATGGTACAGCATGAGTATCTCACCAGATACAGAGCAGATGCTGGTGCCGTACCCTTGGACATTCCAGAACCATGAGCTAAGTAGACCTCTATTCTTTATAAATTAACTTGTCTCAGGAATTTTGTTCTAGCAACAGAAAGTAGACTAAGACAGCACTTTACATAGGTAGATTCAGTTGCTGGTATTGTGCAGGTTACTGAGTTTGATCTCGACCACAGAGCCTGCTCTTGGTCTATTTCCAGATGGGTGGCCTGGAGGAGAGGCAGCTGGAAGCTGTGTGGCTGATGTGGTGTTGAAAAGACATTTCTGCCCTGCAGGTTTAGGCTTCTTGTCTTCCACCTGATGCAGTCTACTTCCAACAGGGCCTGAAATTTGTGACTCTGGGCATTTCTCACAGCTGTCCTGGATGAGGTGTGAGACTCCAGTTGGCTGAATTCCACTCCAGTTCTGTCCACTCCGATTTCACTCCAGAGCTAATATTCTGATTACAATAAGTTGAGTCAAACTATGTGTGCTAGTTACTTTTCTGTCATTGCTGGGACAAAATATCTGACACCTAAAATTAAGGAAGGGAAGGATTATTTTGCTCACAGTTTATGGAGGTTTCAGTCTGCAATCAGCTGACTCCAAGGCAGGGTGACATGGCTGAGGAGCAATAGTTCAAGGCAGCAGAAGACAGCAAAAGCAGCAAGAGCACAAAGGCGCAGGGGGAAGCAAGCCTCTTTTCCTCCCTTATATCGTATGCCGGCTATCCGCCCACGCCCATGCCATCTCCGTGCCCTCCTCTTCTACAGGCTAAGGATGTTTACAAAGTAAGGACCTTGGCTCCATGCTGAATCACTTAGTTAACCCGAATTTCTCAAGTTGACACAATGAACAACATCCTAGAGTGGTAAGGGCGTGTCCTTTTCACCCCAGGATGTAGAACTGCTGAGTTACTTAGTTAAACTGCTAGACTCCTCAAGTTGACACAATGTATCAACCATAACGGTGCTTTATCTGGGCTGCTTACATACATGGTTCCTGAACTGTGAGCATCCTTTTCTGTGTATCACCCATGTCCCTGTGCCACTTGACATGGGTGTCACAGAGCTACTTTGTAGTAATGTGGATGCTGATCCTGATGCTAGTTGCCTTGCATGCCATCATTTCTTTTTTTTTTGTTTGTTTGTTTTGGTACTGGGAATCAAACTCAGGACCTTGCGCTTGCCAGGCGGGTGCTTATGCCGCTGAGCTATATCTCTGGCCCGCATGCCATCATTTCTAAGCTCATGTCACAAGGCAGTATTCAGTAACTGTACATCAATGATACCGTTTATGCTAGAGTGTGCGGTTACATTTAAGTCATAGTAAGCATGCTAGTTTAGTTTTCAAATTACATTTCATCTTTTTAGAAATTTATGCTACTGCTCTTTCCTCTCTTGCTCCTCTTGGAAGGCAGGAGAGAAAGGAGAGGGCTGATTACAAAGCTGTGTCTATCCATTGTTGCGATTTGTAACCTTAAATTTCTTAGGAGACATTAAATCACAATCCAGTTGTGAACAGACATTTCAGTTTTCCAACAAAATTTAAAAACTGGCTGACTGGCTGTCATGTAGAATGGTCAGTTACATATTTTTTAACTGTGTGCATTATTTCTGAAGTTATTAGGAATGATGATCTTTTGTTTCTACATTTGCAGGTGTTGGACCAGTGGCAGCAGAGTGGCCTGCTTTACAGTGTGCTCACAGGCGTGGGCCAGCGCCTGCAGGCCCTCAGGGACCAGTACGAAGAGGGGGACTTGCTGTGGAAGGTGGCAGAAGCCCTGCGTGCCGGATTGCACCTCCTCAGTGATGCAGCGGATGGCTCCAAAGACAGCCACACCGCTCCGCAGACGTAAGGCCCGGTTCCCTCTCCTGTTCAGTAGCCTACACGATACTGCATTGTCAGGCATGCATGGTGATACTGTCAGAAGTAAATTCTCTAAAATCACTGCTGGACAGTGAGTGCCTGGTTAGCAATGGGATGCTACTGTGGGTGAGCGTCAGGAGTGCCCTCACCAGCGATCTGGACACTGAGCCACAGGTCTCAAGCAATGGAAGGAGAACAATGTCTGAGAAAGTGTCCTTTTCCTGGGTATTCAGGTTTATACCTTTGGCATTTGTTTTTAAGATGGACACATACATTTCAGAAGTACTAGCGGGTAAGGAGCTCTGTTTGTTTTCCTATTTAAACAGTGTGTGTAGCCGAAATATACACATGGGCCCAGAAATACTTCAGAAGTGGGAAAATGTAGGCCTTCTGGGTTCTTCATTTTTGAAACAGCCAGAATTAGTTCAACAAAATGGCCAGCTCTGTTACAGAACTGGATCTTTGCCCTCAGTAGGTGTGACAGTTTGCAGTAAGTTGAGTTTTGTCATGCTTCAGAAGTGAAGGCTCCCTGTGGAATACAGTGGACCCCAAAATCCACTGTGCTTACATTCCTAGAGTACCTGCAAATTGTGAAAAACTGAAAATTTCAGAAATGGTGAGAAAAATGCCTACAAATACCTGTTTTTATAGTTTAAAGCCTAACTATGCTACATCTCCCTCAGCTATGTAATTAACTTTAATAAAATGCTGCATTAATAAAGCCTTAGAAGGGGCAGATGTTTTGATGGCATCATAAGGATCTTAAGGCTTTAACAAGAACAGGACAGAGAACACTGGAGATCGCTGCACCCGCTACAGCAACCCTTAGCACGTGGGAATCTCGGTGCGTCTGTCCAGATGAGTTACAGGGCAGTAGCCAATCATCAGCAAGGAGAACTGAATAACGCTCTCTGATTGGCTTCTTGCAAACCTCCCTCCAAAACAATTGCAGAGGATATCCGTGGTTTCTGTGAAATTACGGGGGTTTCCACAAACAAATTATTAGTTTGGTTCTGAGGAAAAATCCTTGAACAACTGAGGCCGTGAACTCTGAACGCAGCTTTTCGGGGGTATACTGCAGAACAGTAAGGTTTCTCACCGTTATCTCCAAAGCTTTGACTTCAACCCATGGACGGCACCCGCTCGGGTTCTCTGTGGACCGCGGAGATGGGATCAGGAGACTGTATGTGTGTCTTCTTGCGCACTAGGATGACACAGGAAGTAGCAGCATTTCCAACTCTGTGACACTTCTGGAGCCCAGCCAGGAAAGAGCATGTTGCTTTCTGAGGCCCTCTTTCCTAACTCCACCTTGGCAGGGCCCGAGGCATGGGGTGCTGGAGAGGCAGGCAGCAGGGAAGGTCCTATCGGGGCCAGAAAAGCTCCTGGAAAATGGACCTCAGGGGCACCAGGGTTGCCTTAAAACCATGAGCTGAACAAAGCAGAGACGAAACACTGTGTCACAGGTTGACGTCAGGGGCAGGATACCGCCGAGGGCTCTGACACTGTCCGACTGATTGGCTTGGGAAACGTACTGGGTCTTACACAATGCACTGTGTGGGAGACACCACCTTCCGTTGCCTTCATCATCCCACAAACCTTAAACCTTCCTGGCTCTCAGCCAGGGGCGGCTTATTCTCTAGCACTGACGCACTGGGAGGATGAAGCCCCAAGCAGCCCTTGTGGCTCTTGGCTCAGGCAGGGACGGAGAAGATGACACCGCGCCCTGGATCCAAGCACAGCTGAGCTCTCCCTGCCTCCCGGCACCACGTCTGCACCCCCGCAGGGGCGGGAAGAGGAGTGGCCGGCGCTGGCTCAGCCCGTCCACCTGCTGTGTGCACTAGGCAAGCGAACGGCCTTTGGAAACGGAGTCTTCATTTCCGTTTGGACCAACATTTGTTATGGGGAATGTAAACCTGCCACTCACTGGCTGTTCTGGTGACATGCAAGTCCTGAGCCTCCTAGTTCCCCGCCAGGCCTTCCGCTTCTCCTGTGCCGGTGGTGTCTCTAGACAACTCTGAGCTTTTTCTAGCTATGGACCTGTTGGTCTGCTGCAGGCTTGGAACAGGCTGCCGAGTGGTCCTGCGGCTTCCCCTCGAGAGGAGGGGCAATCTGCTGGCACGGTCAGGCTGCTGTGAGGGTCGCGGAGAGACCCATGCCAGGGTGCGCCCCGCAGGAGGGAGGCCCTTTTACACCAGCGCTTACTCAGCTCTGCACTGACACCTGCTGGTGGCTCCCGCCGACCCCTCCTCCCTCCGTGTTATAGTTTGGGTCTGAAATGTGTCCTGGAAGCCCCAAGTGTTCAGCGGGGAGGACTTGGGAAGGTGTCGAACCGAGGTGTGCTGTACACGTTAGTTAACGCCTGCACTGTTAGGAGCCGAGGCTGGTCAGCAGAGGCGGATCACGGGGGCGGGGCCTGCAAGGGTCCCTCTTCTTTCCACCTCCCCCTTCTCGCTCTGCTTCCTGGTTGCCGTGCTTGAGCAGCTCTCCTCCCCCGGTGCGTCCGCCCTGTCCTTCCTGCCTTGGAGCCAGCTGACCAGGGTCTGAAGCGGGAGCCAAACCCAACCTCACTTCTTTTACCTTCAGTGCTGGGCTGGGCATGGTGGAGCACGCCCATAATCCCAGCCCTCAGGAGGATTGCTGTGAGTTCGAGGCCACCCTGGGCTACCAAATGAGTTCAAGGCCAGCCTGAACTGCATAGTGAGACCCTGTTTCTTTTTCTTTTTTTTTTTTTATTTTAAAGATAAAAGGAGGGAAACATTAACAGACATACAACATTTTACAACATATCACAAGCACAATACAGACAATACAGAGTTA